ACTGTCAAGACAAATACTGTTAACATAATATTCAAGTCGCATACACCTGTGCTATCTGCCCAAAGGTTTCAAAGAAATAGGCACAGGTTTTAAGTAAGGGTATATGTCTGCTCTTGCATACATGAAATGAGGACATTATGAGAAATATTCTAGAAGAAAACAGTCACCAATTTTTGGATATCGCTCAGTGCTTGACTAGTGTATAAGCGAAGCTCCACACCAATAATAGCTTGAGAACCAATGAGGCTAAATGCTGCCTATTTTAAAGGTTTCGGGTGAACTTCTGGCCTATTTTTAAGCCAGACGATGTAAAATAGGGCATTTGGATTCAAAAATCAATGCGTATTATCATAGTCTTGAGCAAAATCGTGCTCACTTCAGTGGTTTAGGGCCAGCTTTCACCAAATGAATTTGTTAGTATAAGCCTGATGTAAATGTTAATACATTTACATCATTTCAGTGGAAGCGATTGAGTGGTCTTAAGGCAATTGCTCTGCCTGATAGGTCCTACTTACCTATTCTTTTCTCTTTTTCGATGGGATAGCGACGCTCATGCATGATCTTTTTGCATAACAGTAGAGGAGAAGTGACCTTCTGAGCATTTGCTACAACTCAATCCGTACTCACGTGGCTGTTTCCCATGTTTGTTCTCTATGTAGAAAGGAGCATTCACTGTTATCATCGCGCACAGTTAAGTTGGATTTATGCATTGATGAATCCATGGCGCCATTTATGAATCAGTTTGGCAGTCAGACAGCCATTCCACCTAAAGGCAATATCGCCCAATCGGTAAAATTATTGCCTTCTCGAGCGAATCAACATCACAGGTGGTGCGGGCACAGCTTCACTAATAAATCTGGCAATTCGAAAAAAATGCAAGTGACTTTGCAAGCACAGCATATTTGTACAATTTGTAACGATTAGGAACTGAGAGAATGAGGGCCTGGAGTAAGGTATAGTCAAAACGCAAAGGGTCAGGCGACGAGAATGATGTCACGGCTGAAAAAATATGTGAAAATTTGGTGTCACACTTCCTTCTCCTTAACTAAGGGATTATCTTCGAATATTGCAAAAAAATGCCTGGCTGCTTTTTTTCTTCTACCTTCGGTTCCAGACAGCCTAATGGAGTAGATTAGCTACCATTCAACGAGCCTCATAAATTGCACCAACGTGTGACCGCAACGAATGAACAAGTTCTCAAACTAATCCAAAATTTGTCTTCCTCTCCACATTCAACCACCCGCTCCCGTGAGTAGCAGCTATGAATGGTTAATTTGTGCACAATTGCTTATGCTTTCCTTCTCATCAGGGCCAGTTGTGCTGTTGGTACCACATATCTTGCGCGTTATTTATAATTCCACTCGAGTATGTAGTGAATTTATTCCTTTTTACAGAAAGACCTCATCAACAAGTTTGAAAAATAGCGATTTTATGTAAAGGAAATCGCAACAATTTTGTTTTATGTAGTCTTAAAGCTATATCACGTTACGTGATTGAAATAGGTGTTGGAATTATAATTTTGAGTGTATATTTGAATTCTAATGACTTGAAAATCTTACATTCCCATACGCTGCATAAAGAATAGTGTCAAATTGATTGGAATAAAGGCTGACAAAGATTGATTGGCTATTGTGATTGACTAAAAGTAATGACAACATTGTGTGTTGGTCACGTTTTGTCGAGACATCGCTAGTTTAGACTTTCATCTGATGGTTGCCAATCACATGCCACAATAATTGAATCTTCAAGAAATTTAGTATAAATGTTTTGATTTTGACAAAATTTTTGCTTTTGTTGACTTAAAAAACCTTCTCAGAGCCACAGAAATCAAAAGAACTATGCAGGTGTGAAAGAATCCGAAGTGACATTTCTGGATTAGATTTCGTTTGCGCAATCACAACTCGTGACCACTTAAGAGACCGCAAATGGGAGGTGCGACAAGATAGCTAAATCATCTGCATGCAGTCAGCTTCACTTTGTTATCATTGCACAATTTACAGGCGTCTCCAGCTCCAAGGCTCGTTCTACCACTTATGACATATATGTTGTGGTCACTTCGGAAGGACTCTGTGCTTCTCACATCT